GTGGTAATGGCATGTTTACATGGCTTTGATCAGAACTTAAATCTTTACCTTTGTCCTCATGACTAATATATTATTGCTGTGTGGTGGAAAGAAGAATCTCTGGGAATTGAACCAGTACAAATGCAAAGAATGCTCCTGCTATTATACATCTACTAGCATTACTAAACTTCCGTGCCTTTTTTAATATTATAGACTATATCTAGCCTGCAACGGCCTGCATGTGGCCTTTCATACCTTAACCATGCCTTGCATCTTTAACTTGTAAAGACGAGGACAACTCTTAAGAACAAAGGTTGAATGCCAAGGTCATCAGTTTTCCACAATTCTTAATACAAATTAATATGTATTACTATTTAATTTATGTTATAGACAACATGTAATATTTTTTATCGTAATGTATGATACCATCATTTTGATTTAGTGGTTGTTTACCTGTCTTCCACATTAGCAAAGGTTGTGGTGATCTTGGTTCAAGTGATGGGGATTTCATCTCCATCTGCAACTTCTGGACAAATCAAGTATGCTGTTTTTTAATTTCAGCAACATAGAGCAAACTGTCATGTCAACAACAAGAGCATCTCCAGGTGAAACTGATTTCTAAATGAAAATCAACTGAACAGAAAATGTTATTTGGTCTTGTATGTCCTTTTCAGGTCATTTGGAACAAAAGGGTTTTGCCAATTATTTTAACACTTCTTTTTTTTTTTGTAGTACACCAGGAGCACCTATCACTTTTTTTTTTCTCGCCACTTTTTTTTCTTCCCTGCTTTCCCCCCCCACCCCACCAACAAAATATATTAAATAGATCTGTCTCCCTGTTTTGTAAGTAATTACTATAGCATTTCTTTTCTTTCTATAAGAATCTTTGAATTTTGGCCAATAGTTGTGACAGCTTTCTATTGTCAAAGGTAGACTGACAAAATGGAGAGAATGCATAGGAGAGACCTACAGTAACACAGAGGATAGGCCACCTTCTGCACCCGAACTGGATAATAGTTGCAGTATCACCTAACCTTTCTGAGAAAAAAGGGAACAATTGAAGTAAAATGTTCAATTATGTAAAACACTATTTCACATTTATGATAGCTGCTGTGACACTTGAATGATTAAGTGTTTTATTGGCATTTTTCTTTGTACAGTTTCAATGTTCAACTGTGAAATACATTTTTTTTGCAAAATAGGTGCTTAGTTTGTTTTCATTTATTGAATTCCTGAACACACTGCACTAACACATCTTCAAGCATTACAGTCCTTTTCAAGGAATTGTAAAAATGAGAGATCTTGGAACTGGTTGGTAAATTCAAAATATTTCAGGTAAGTGACTGTTGCCATCCTATTTTCTTTATTCCTGATTGCACATAAAGGAACACAAAATTAAACAGACATCACACATTAGTGTAGTGGATTATAAACATGTTCATCAGCAATATCAGCTCTGAATCTTCTCATTATACCTCCAGGGCTTACCATTGACCAGAAGGTTACTTTCTAACGATATTAATGCTGTGACTACAAGGGCAGGGAATTTTAGTGATAACTGACTACCTGACTTCCCAAACCACCATCTTCGAGACACCAAATTAAGAGTACAATGCAACACTTTCACTTGCCTGAATAGATGCAATGTTCAGCAATGTTTGAAGTTTGACACCATTTGCAAGGTCCTATTTGGCCCTAAATATCAATTTCTGATTCCACCTGCTCTCCACACTAGGACTGCTTATTCCCATGACGACATCTATGCCCATCACTGCTTCAGTTCACCTGTGACTGAAACTGTTCTCAGCAAGCAGTATCATAAATTTCAGTCTCATAAGTTAATCCAAAATTCTGCTAGCCACGTTCTAATTCTCAAAATCCAGTTCATCTCTATCTTCTCAGACCTGTATTGACTTCACTTTCAGATACTCCGATTTCAAATTCCTCTAGCATCATGCCTTCCCATCTATCTGAACACCTCCAACCCCATCCTGCTGAGAACTCTGCACTGTTCCAATTCTGGATTTTTGGTACGTTATTGACAGCTAGGCATCAAACTCTATACACTGAATGCATTCTGGCCCTTGCATCCTTTTATGCCCTACCACTTTCCTATATTATGTGTCTGGGATAGATTTTGATTGAAAGTACCCTCCAAGGGCA